TTTAATACTCGAGTTTCACAATTTGAGTTGAATTACTGAAATAAATGAACTTTTCCATGACATTCTAATTTATTGATATGCACCTGTATATGAGCTGTGTGGCAGTTTAGGGAAATACCTGTAAATGGCGCACGTGAGGTTATCTGATGGAGAGACGCAAAGCAGTTTAAAGAAGAGTCCTGCACAGGTCCTGTTTGGTAAACGTGCACCAGCAGTAATTAACAGAACACTCGACCCGTTTTAATTCTGTACCAGACCAGACCCATTTGACAAAGACCACGAGTCGCGACCCGAACCGCACCCACATTAAATCTATTACATCAGGTAGGCAAAATTATTTATTTTCTCATGTAACAAGCAACCAAACCAAAATTAGGCATTCTAAATCGGTGCTTTGAAGAAAATCAGACATGCAGCGCAACGTTATAATAATAATAATAATAATAATAACAATAACAGAAGAAAAGACAAGAACGCGCATCCTTTCTGAAAACAATAGCATAGTGTGACGAGTGGGGGCGGGGCCGAGAGCCGTGGGAGCGGAGCGAGGCCAGTGGAGTAATTGATAATGAGCGACACCTGCACCACTCACCGGTCTCGAGTCTCACGGAGGAGCTCCGGAAGGATAAAAGGGAGGAGTGACGACAGTGTCGGACGAGAGAGGACCAGGCCTGGATTTTATTTTGTGTTTTGGTTTTGTTTGTGCGCGACAGTCGTCCGCGAGGGGCTGTAGCGCTGTTTTGTGTTTATTTTATTATTAAAGTTTTGTTTGAATGTTCGCCGGTTCCTGCCTCCTTCTTCCCGAACTACGAACTTTGTTGCACATAGCATCTTGTGATCACTCTGCCAGGCTTTCGGACAAATGTGCATAGGCTAAATCACATCATAAACATGCTTATAATTCTTAATAAATGAAAAGAACATATTCAAATATGAGCTTTTACTGTTAAATGCGATTGCCGTTATTATTGAATTTCATTAGTCTCAGTTATGATTTATGCTCAGTTGTTCACGGAAATCTGTTAATTCTGCTAAACTTTAATTACAATAAAAACTAAAACTAAACTATATAAAAACTAAATAAAAATGTGTTCGCAAAATAAAAACTAAACTAAAACTAACAACAATATTAATGAAACTAATAAAAACTAAACTGAATTGTATAGCAAATTTGAAAACGATATTAAAATAAAACAAATTTAAAAATTCAAAACTACAATAAACTTGCTGGCTACCAATAGCTGCTCGCATAAAATTCAAAGCATTGATGTTTGCCTACAAAACCACCATTGGCTCTGCACCCCTTTACCTAAATTGATTACTTCAGAGTTATGTGCCCTCTAGAAGCTTGAGTTCTGCAAGTGAACATCGCTTTATTGTGCCATCCCAAAGAAGCACAAAATCACTTTCACGGACTTTTAAATTAAATGTTCCCTCCTGGTGGAATGACCTGCCCAACTCAGTCCGAGCAGCTTCAAGAATCGACTAAAAACACATCTCTTCCATCTTTATTTGACCCTCTAACTCTAGCACTCTCTATTATAATTATATTCTTAAAAAAAAAAAAGCACTTGTCCCTTTAAGACTTGCACTCTATTCATTTGCTGCTTGTTTTCTTTAAAAAAAAAACTAAAAAAACACTTGCTTTCTAATCTTTTTGTATTCTCTCTGTTTTTTTTTCATTTATTATACAATTAACAAAAGCAAAAAAGACCTCTAACATTAGCTTGCTCTATTCTTTTTCTATTTTATCTGTTTTCTTTTTATATATTATATCATTTAAAAAACCCTTGCTACGTGTACTGTGTTAAGCTACCTGAGACTTGTTATAGCACTTGTATATCATTGCTCTTTTGTTGATTTTGATTGCTTCCATTGTCCTCATTTGTAAGTCGCTTTGGATAAAACGTCTGCTAAATGACTAAATGTAAATGTAATGTAAATGTAATAAAATGACCAAAATGTCAGAAAAATTCAAGTTCAAAAATGCCCCAATTATAGGTTTCTGATTTCTATATTTACAACATGTATAGTTAAGCATTATCACACAAGCAAGATTGCTGTTTTCCCCAAATATCCGCAGCTTTAAAAATGTGGTATTGCTTTTATAGAACAGTTCAACAAACAAGAAGTGAGTACCTTATATTTAGGATAAAAATAGTTACATATTGTAACAATTCTATCACAATTGGATATACTGTAACAAATTCATCCTCCAGCTAAAAATGAGTTTTAATGCAATATCGATGCACATACAGTGGGTACGGAAAGTATTCAGACCCCCTTAAATTTTTCACTCTTTGTTATATTGCAGCCATTTGCTAAAATCATTTAAGTTAATTTTTTTCCTCAATGTACACACAGCACCCCATATTGACAGAAAAACACAGAATTGTTGACATTTTTGCAGATTTATTAAAAAAGAAAAACTGAAATATCACATGGTCCTAAGTATTCAGACCCTTTGCTGTGACACTCATATATTTAACTCAGGGGCTGTCCATTTCTTCTGATCAGCCTTGAGATGGTTCTACACCTTCATTCGAGTCCAGCTGTGTTTGATTATTTGTCTTGGTTGTATATAATTTGATTACTTATTTGTTCAGTATACCTTTTTTGTGAGCAAACAACTTTGCTGTTCCTCAATAATGTGATTGCCCAGGGAATTTGAATCAGCTAAATGCCAAAGCTAGTCTCTGTAATCATATTTTATGAAATATAACCTATTTCTGAGCCCTGTAATCCTCAGCCATATTTAAAGAGCTGAAAGTAAGTCCATACAGGCAGGAGCCGCATGCTGTTTTCCCCAGAGCTCAGAATGGCTGGAGGGAGGGATTTCACAGTGAGATGTTGATCAAGAATTTATGGTTGCCATAGTAACCAGTGTGCAATAAAGGCTATGTCGGCGTCCCTCAATTTTTCCCATAAGAAAATATTAAATGTGGGACTGAATTTAGGCTTTTTAGTGCCTTGTCAGGGTTTGTCAATAACTAGAATGCAGAAAGTGTTAGCAACACAGTAAATATGCACATATTTATTAGTGGCAAGACAACTAATCTTTAGGTTTGAGATGTCAGGTTGTATTTTAGTTCTTCAGCATCTCTGTACCTTGTACTAATATGAGAACTCCTCTAGGGCACCTAAATGTAATGAAGTGCTTCATGTTTCTAATATAGCTTTGCACCAGCATTTTCATCTTATCCAGAGCATAATCTTCTGTATTCCAGCTCTAAATAGATATCCGTGCAATACACGCCGTTGAGAGTATTCCAGGTTGGTACTTCAACAAAATATGACTACAGTCTGTCAGTAAGACTACAAAGGCCCATTCACATAGACATTCACAAGGACTATAACACGATATAGTTTTAGAAATCATTCTAAATTTAAAAAAATAAAAAATAGCAGTGTCCACAACACAACTGTAATGATGACACCAAGAAACAATATTGTTGAAATCACTTTCAAATTTTTTTCCTGATAAACGATAAAAGCATTGACAGCTGATCAGAATCCATCCTGCTTAATAGAGCTCTAGAATTTGTGCATCATGTGTTTTTAGTAAACAGAATGTCTCCGTTATCTTTATTGTTGGTGTGAACTGTCACGCTCCAGGTGTGTGGAGGCAGGCAGGATGACGAGGACGACAAGGATTCAAAAGAAGGATATTTAATGTAGCGACAACAAGGCAGAGACAGACACACACTCGGGTAACAGTCACAATAACCAACAACACTAGAATACAAGAGACAGGAACTTATAGGGCAGATAACGAGGGGCAGACAGGTGAACACAATGAGGGTGATTAACTAATGATTAGGCGGGCTAAAACAACACAAGGGGAAGAAACCACAACAAACAGTCCACAGGGGTGTTACATTACTCCCCACTCCCGGAAGGTGCGTCCTCGCACCGTAGAAACAGAGGGAGGGGTGGAGGGGGACTAGGAGGAGGACAAAGCAGAGGATGTGAGATGGTGACAGGGGAAGGCAAAGGGCTGGCAGGCAGAGCAGACAGGTAGAGGTTTCGGCGGAGGATGGATCTCCAGGAGGAGGAGCCAGGGAGACGACAGGGGGGAACCAGAGCAGGAGGAGGAGCCAGGTGGGACCCTAGCGGCCCACGGTGGAGCCGACGGAGGGAGGAGCCATGGAGGAGGAATGTCCACCGACTCCAGGGGGCCGACCAACGGCAGCGGAGCAGGTGGAGGAGGAGCCCTAGGCGGAGACGGAGAGCCAAAGAGCCAGGGGGATGCAGAGGATCCAGGGGCCCAGGGTGGAGTCGAGGGCTCTGGCGACCAAGGCGGAGGCGGAGATACAGAGATCCGCGGTGGAGCGACTGAGGACCAAGGTGGAACTGACGGGAGGAAGGAGCCCAACGGAGCCGGTAGGACAGAGCGACGAGGCACAGCCAGAGGAGAGGAGTCCAGAGGCGATGGCGGGTCGACGCCCGACCAAGGCGGAGCCGGAGGGACGAGGGAGCACGGTGGAGCTGATGGATCGATGGGTGACGGTGGAGGCGAGGGAGCTAGGAGCCGAGGTGGAGCCACTGGGTCTACGGACTGAGGCAGAGTCCGGGCCTCGGAGCCTGGAGGCGAGGGAGACTCCGACCATGGTGACGCTGGAGGAGGCCGGAGCGGGTGGGAGGGCGGTCATTTTTGAGGAGCGGGCCCTGGAGAGAGCTCTTGGGCTGGAGCCCTTCCTGGGCGGAACTGGGGATCGGGAGCCATTCCTAGGCTCGACAGGGGATCGGGAGCCCTTCCTGGGCTAAACAGAGGATTCCGTGGTCTCTCCTCCTCATTTTGGCACCAAATACCCTCCATAGTCGATTGGCCGAATACCTCCCGGAAGGGTCTCACAAAACCCTCCAGCGATTGAATCCCTGGGCTCTGTGCAGTCCACAAGGCTTCGGCCCACTGCAAGGCTCGTCCAGACAGCAACGAGATAATCAATGACACTCTGGCCCGCTCAGTCACAAACAGGTGTGGTTGCATCTCCAGGTAGCGAGAACATTGCAGCAAGAACCCGCTACCGAAGGCCGCCTCACCCGAAAAGCTGGCTGGCCAGGCCATGGGACAGGCGGGGTAATCCATAAAAAACAACAAAATCAAAACTGACAAAACGGAAAAAACAAACGAAGGGAAAGACGCCGCTATAGTTTACTTGAGGGTCGGTTATTCTGTCACGCTCCAGGTGTGTGGAGGCAGGCAGGGTGACGAGGACGACAAGGATTCAAAAGAAGGATATTTAATGTCGCGACAGACAGACAGACACAGACACACACACACACAGGAACTTATAGGGCAGATAACGAGGGGCAGACAGGTGAACACAATGAGGGTGATTAACTAATGATTAGGCGGGCTAAACCAACACAAGGGGAAGAAACCACAACAAACAGTCCACAGGGGTGTTACATGAACAGGCCATATCATGCCATTCTAATGGTTACAACTGGAGCTGTAATGACAAATTAGTAAACATATTCAAGTCCTGCTCACAGTGGAGAAAGTGTGACATTTTTCATTTTCTTTTAAAGCCAACAAGAATGGGCATTTGCAGTGCTTTCATTTTTAATTCTTTCCCTGCCATTATCGGAATTTTTCTGGCTTTCCATGTTTTCACTGTTATATGGTAGTGGGCACTATTACACATCTTCTGAATGAAAACACGATGAAGAAACAGAAACAAGTGATCGCATATGTAAGCAGATGCATATGTAAACATGGTCATCAAACATTAAACAGCATATAAATCAAAACTGCCTAATGTTTCTGAATGGAATGTCGACCTAGGAAGTGGTATAGGACTGTGCAAGGTGTTGATGGAAGCGATCTAATGTTTTGATCATCGCTCTGAATCCGATCTGGGCGTAGTCTTTGAAAAAAAGATGCTTTTCGTCAGGTTACTTTTTATTAAACTTGGCCATATTCAAGTGTGGTTAAAAAAAGCTTTACGCTAGAAGAAAACTTTAAAGTTTAAAAAAAATGCTAGAGTTAAGTGAAACAATATTTAGTAGAAAATACTTAAGTTGAGACTTTATTTTAATTTAAACAATTAAATCAATATTATTTATAAATAATAATGAAACAAATTAAAAAGTTGAATCATGCACAATAAAACTTGCATAATATACAAAAAAATGTATTATTGTCAGTTGTGATTTTCCTATAATGTAAAATTATTAAATGTTCTAAGCTGCAAACTGTGTGTTGTCTCTCCAGGTGTAAGCAGTTGACCTACTCTGATGACCTTCCCCAGATCTCTGTCGTCTTCATTTTTGTGAACGAAGCTCTCTCTGTCATCCTGCGGTCTGTACACAGCGTGGTCAACCACACCCCGGCACACCTGCTCAAAGAAATCATACTGGTGGATGACAACAGTGACAGCGGTATGGACACATCCATGTGTGTTTCCTTTAATGATTTTATTTGTTTTTTCTATAACTAATACAGATCCTAAATGTTTACCAGTTTCTCCTGTTGCTTCAGACATAAAAGCTTTTATAAAGAAAGAATACATAAAATGCTGTGTGAATAAACAGCGTAACATCCCCAGATAAAATTTGACTAACCTGTTTTCTGTAACAGTCTGTGTTTTGTCTGAGCAAACAAACATTTTTGTTGCTTGGTTAGAGACTGCTGTTAAAGACTAACAAAAAGAGGAAAAATAAACAGCAAGAGACAAACACCGCAAGAGTAAACCTTTAGGTATGTACTCTTGCACACAACTCAAGATTTATAAATAACCTTTAAAGGTTGTTGTTTTTTTACATTATTTACAGTTTCCACTGACGTTGTATGTTTTGCAGTTGTTTTATATGGTCAAACTGCACTGAAGTATTGGACTAACTAAAAGTAGTGATGCCCCTAACTGAACATGTCTTAATATTTTTCATTAGTGTGACAGCAGCTCAGCTGTTCTCAAAGTAGTGTAGCTTTTTTAGTAATTAACAATTTTTTCAGTGTAACACGAAAAATAACATTATTTTGTGTATTTGGTGTAATGAAATGTGTTTATGCGGTTTAAAGTAAAAAAAAAACACATTATTTTCCACATACTGTACATTATTGTTTCTCCTCTATGCCCCGCCTTTCTGAAACGCTTTGATTTTTACAAAGCTCATCAGTCTGAAAAAGTGAGGTGTGCTGTGATTGGCCAGCTATCTAGTGCGTTGTGATTGGCCGAATACCTCAAGTGTGTGACGGAAATGTTACGCCCCTCACCATACTGTTGATGCCGTGTCCGGCCGGAGCGACGAAACAAAAACATTAAAACCCATTACAAATGAAAAAAAGCAGCAGCTAGATTTCTGAAGGGGTGTAAAAAATTTGATCATGTTACACCCATTCTGAGATCCCTGCATTGGCTGCCTGTTCAGCACAGAATTGAGTTTAAAATTCTTCTATTTGTCTACAAATCATTGAACAATTTAGCGCCGCCTTATCTTACAAACCTACTTCATCCCTACATCCCCACAAGACGATTATGATCCGAGCAAAAAATTCTCCTCCAGATCCCTCGCACTCGTCTAAAGATGAGAGGAAATAGAGCGTTTGAAGTGGCTGGTCCTACTCTCTGGAACAACTTACCATCTCATATTAGAATGGCCTCCACTCTACCTGTGTTTAAATCCTGGCTAAAAACTCATCTTTTTACTTTGGCGTTTATTAATTGATTTTGTTATAGTCATGTTATGTGTATTTGACATTATGTTATTAATATTTTACTTTTTGTATTTGTGCTATTGACAGTGTACAGCACTTTGGTCGGCTTTCAGCTGTTTGTAAATGTGCTTTAGAAATAAACTTTTTTTTTTTTGCAGCTGTCCTTATATTAATTTATCATTTTGAGCAGGAGTCCAGGATTCATCGGGAAAACATTTTTAAAATGCACCTAAGTTACTAGGAAGAAGAGCAATAAGACAGCATAATAAAATGAAAAAGTGCACTTTTTTATTTTGAATGGCGAAGACGTGCTCAACCACAGACATTCACAGGTTCATTTTGAAGTATCAGCAAAACAACAAAGCTAATGCATTTCACAGAACTTACGTAATTACCCATTATACATTGTGATATAGCCTGGTTTGTTGGTCGGTTGGATCGGATTGCTTTCTCACTACAACCGAACTGCTCCAGAGTTCGTTTTCAATCGAGCCGAGGCCACCTCGTTCAGGCGATCTCGGACCGATTGTTTTGGCACGGATCCGGGCGCGATTGCCGTGTTCACATATGCCCAAACGAACCTATCTAAGGGGGGAAACGTGCCAGGTTCCGAAACAACGAGCCAGGTGTGAAAGCACCCTAAGTGTCTTCTTAAAAATATTTTAATGATTCCGAACTGTTGATCAGTAGTATATCTATATATTTGTTATTTTATATTTTTTATTATACCTCTATATTCTAGCATACACCTGAAAGTTGTCAAATTCCTTTTTATCAGATGTACATGATATATATATATATATATATATATATATATATATATTTAAAACGGCAGTACCACTAAATCTTTTTTCACCCATAGAGGTGGAGCATTGTGGAGAACGGCTGACTGGCAGTACCGCTATCTTCCCAATCCTCTGTTATCTCACACAGTCAGCTTCTCTGGATGTGGTGTTGACCGTTTCTAATTCCATATGTTAATTTCCTGCTGATGCTTCAGCTTCTTCCAGCTGTCATTAAACTGTTAACATGCAAAGGTTGCCTACTTGACCTTTTCTCAGAGCTGTAGCTTGTTGTTTCTGGTTTAACGCTCGTGCCCAAAAAATGGCTGGAGGTACAGGCAGCCTTAGCACTTGAATAATGAATTACCTTAGCAAGCGTGTCTCTGTCTCTCTAAGTCAGGGGTGCCCAACCCTGCTCCTGGCGATCGACTGTCCTGCAAAGTTTAGCACCAACTCTAATCAAAGACACCTGCCTTTAATTTTTAAGTGATCCTGAATACCCTAATTAGTTGCTTCAGGTGTGTTTGATTAGGGTTGGTGCTAAACTTTGCAGGAGAGTCGATCGCCAGGAGCAGGGTTGGGCACCCCTGCTCTAAGTCTTCTGTCCGTTATGAAGACATTTAATAGAGTGCCGTTCTCGTGTTACACTATTCACTGAAGCCAATAAGGTATTTTGTCCTCCTTTTCTGTCCGTCCCTCATCCCTGTCTGTTTGGATTAATCTCAGCTGAATCCTGTTATGCAGGGTAACATTCATTCTCACCTTGTGAATAATATTAAGGGACGTTGTGTGTATTTTTCTCATCTCATCAGACATGGAGTGGGATTGTGCCCTTGAAATTCAATTCATTTAGACGTCGCTTGTAAACAGATAATAATGGTTTTCACCCAAAAATCATAATTTCATCACCATTTACTTACCCTCATGACATTACAAACCCATTTGACACTTTTCTTTTTTAATTCTGTGGAACACAAAAGGAGAACTTTTGAATTTTATTTTTTTGTGGATGATCCCTGTTTTACAGAATGCTAATGGCACACACGTACACGTGTGCATCCATGAGGAAAATGGCTTTCTTTAATTGCATTAATTGCTATTCCAGTGCCATATGCAGCCTTCACTAGTTATTGTGTATGGTTGTATATCAAGCCAGAGTTCTTGATATATGTAGATGAAAAATGATAAAGCCTCTGTTGATTAAATAAAGCAAAGCAATCCCTTTGCCATAGCTCATCTATCAGGATCAGCATGCATTTCAAATATTTTCATAATGCTCAATTTTTATCTGCTGTGTTCCAGAACTTATTTCTGCTTTTCTGTTCACAGTATGATGGATGGATATTTGTTCTTTATTGATTGGTGAATGTTTATAAAACATGATTCTTGTCTTCTTAAAAATATTTTAATGATTCCGAACTGTTGATCAGTAGTATATCTATATATTTGTTATTTTATATTTTTTATTATACCTCTATATTCTAGCATACACCTGAAAGTTGTCAAATTCCTTTTTATCAGATGTACATGATATATATATATATATATATATATATATATATATATATATATTTATTTAAATTGTAAAGTACAATATATTAGTGTACATCAATATTCATTGTATTGTATTCACAGTATTGTATTTATACTATTTGCTAGTAATGAGAATGATATTTTTCACAACACATTGGAAATTTAGGAGAAAATGTGTAAATATAATGTTAAAATAAATGGTCATACTTGTTCCATGGGCTATAATGTTGCTTATAGTATGACCACATACAAACTTGGTTGTCAATTCAGCTTTTAGTGCTTAATCCTGTTCTGAACACACACAATTCATTAATTTACGGCAATCTACAACCAAATTGACACACAAGTCATGGCCTAATGGTTTGAGAGTCGAACTTGTAACTCAAAGGTCATGGGTTTTGAGTCTCAGTACTCAGGGGGGAGTAAATAACCAGCACTCTCTTCCACCTTCAATACCACAACTGAGGTGAGACCCTTGAGCAAGGCACCGAACCCCCAACTGCTCCCGAGGCACCACAGCAAAAATGGCTGCGCACTGCTCTGGGTGTGTGTTCACTGTGTGTGTGTTCACTACTCACTACTGTGTGTGTGCACTTGGATGGGTTAAATGCAGAGCACAAATTCCATGAAGTATGGGACACCATACTTGGCTACACATCACTTTAAAAAAATTCAGGTTGACAACTACCATGCAGTGTGTACAGAACCGAACTGCACAACCTGTTGTTAATGACATATAAACCTGTATCAGAGTTGTATCTTTTCTGTATGTGCAGTGCAAGAAATCACAGGGTATGTTTTGACTCATTAGTGTTGCCAGATCTTGCTAGAAAAAAAAATCAACAACAAATGTGACCCTGGTCCACAAAACCAGTCATAAGGGTCAATTTATCTAAATTGATTTATACATCATCTGAAAGCTGCATAAATAAGCTTTCCATTGATGTATGGTTTGTTAGGATAGGACAATATTTGGAAATACAACTTTCCGAAATACAACTATTTGAAAATCTGGAATCTAAGGGTGCAAAAAAATTAAATACTGAGAAAATCGCCTTTAAATTTGTCCAAATTAAGTTCTTAGCAATGCATATTACTAATCAAAAATTAAGTTTTAATATATTTACAGTAGGAAATTTACAAAATATCTTCATGGAACATGAACTTTGCTTAATATCCTAATGATTTTTGGCGTAAAAGAAAAATCAATAATTTTGACCCATACAATGAATTTTTGGCTATTTCTACAAATATACCCCAGCGACTTAAGACTGGTTTTGTGGTCCAGGGTCACAAATAAGAATAAGCCCATAATGTGCCCATAATTATCTATCCAAATGTGTTATCTTGGAAATAAAAATATAGTCACCTGCATCGGCCTACTTTATTAACTCCAAAACTGGAGCCCAAACAACAAGCCCAAAGACGCTAAATAAGTGTACAAAACAATAATCTAGGGGATTCACTCTGGTATTTAAATGTTGTTACTGTGTACGTGGCCTATGAGTCTTTATGGGCAAACTTAAAAACATCTCATCTCAACATCTTAATTTCAAATCATATTTTTGGGTGATTAAGTCCAGTGCCAGGGTTTCCCATTGCACTGAAACACTGAAATGTTAATCGTTCTTCTGAGCTGATGAATGAGAGGGGAGGTAGTTGTGTGCATCAGTGCCTTAAAGAGTGCTCTGTTCCTCTTTATTCCTCTCACCTTAGAAACTAGAGCACTCAGCAACCTGCAGGAAAATGCCCAAGCACTCATCTATCTTCCTTGAGTGTGTGTATGTGTGTGTTTGTCTCTGTGAGTGTGTGTGTGTTCTCCTTGAACTCCATTTGTTTACCTCTCAGAGTTCTTACTGAATGAGGACAGATAGCTAACTCTGAGAGACTAAAGGAGTGGGGAGATTCAGGCAGATTTATTTACGGTGTCATTTATAGTGCCACTAAAACCTTATTTTTTCTTTTATGCTATTAAGTTTATATATTACGGAATGTCAGTGTCAATAAAGACTGTGTATCCTGATTCTCCAGCGTTCTCCTTGTTCCTTGTTCCTCGCTCCTTGTTCCTCACTCCTCACCGTAGGCGCAACGTAGGCGCAACCGGATCAAAACAGAAAGTAAGCGGCGCCCCTTTTCCCTGTTTTGTTTCCGGTTTTGAAAGTCTTTTGTTTTCTTGCTCCCCCCCCAACCCCCCGCGCTCATGGAAATCGCCGCTCGTTTCTACGCCTTAGCCCGCAGAGATATCCCCTTCTTCGAGTACGCCTGGAAATTCTGCGGGCTCGCTGCAGCGGCGGAATTGGATGACGCCACCATCAATTCTGTGTTCTGGCTCGGGGCCAACTACCATCGCTCCATGGACCTCCCAGACACCAAGGGACTATGCTGGAGGGAAGGGATCTACCGGTGTCTGGGGAGTGTCCGGGCCTGAGCCAGAACCAGCCCGCCGTCAAGCCGGCCGTTCCTCAGTCAAGCCCACCGGCCATGACTCACTTAAGCCCGCCGACCACGCCTTTCACCCCCCGAACCTAAAGGAGAATCTAAGGAGGAGAAGGCAGTCGGCTCCAGCCCCAGAGGTCGCTCCAGTGTGGGCTCCAGCCCCCGAATCCAGCCCAAAGAGGGCTCCTGTTCCCGAGTTTAGCCCACGTATGGCTCCTGTCCCCGAGTTTAGCCCAGTGAGGGCCCCTGTCCCCGAGTATGGGTCCATCCGTAGTGGCCGGACCGAGTTGCGCCATTCAGCCATGGCCTCCTGAGTTCCCTGTTCCGCCATGGCCTCCTGAACTGTATGCTCTGCCATAGCTTTCTAGTCTGCCTGCTCTGCCATGGCTTCCAGAGCTCCCTGCTCCGCCATGGCTCCTTTTATACTTCCGGAGCTCCTCCGTGGGACTCGAGACCGGTGAGTGGCGCAGGTGTCGCGCATTAGCATTTACTCCACCGGTCTCACTCCGTTCCCATGGCTCTCGGCCCCGCCCCTCTCGTCACAAAGAGATTATGGGTGTTTCTTCAGATTTTAGCCATAAAACACACTTTTCAGACTCTCACTAATATTTTTTTCCTTGCATATAACTGTGCATATAACTATATTACGAGATCATTTTGTCTTTTTGGGGGGAATATTTTCATCATATCTCAAATATGTCTTGTTAAGAGACAAGATTTCATAGCTAGCATTTTATGTATCCAAAAAATACATAATAATGAAGTACGCTTGAGATGAAATACAGTACCTCCTTGGTGTTCTTGGTAACCAAGTACACTAACATTTAAAAAAACATAATTGTTATTTATTGGTTAAAATGACAATACAGCTGAGTGACAGCCGTAAAAACAGATATAAGCAACACAAATATTAAATTTTTTTTTTTTTTTTTTCAAATGCAATAATTTTTGTTTTTGATGAATTTATAAGATCAAAAACCATTAATAATCAATGCCTTCACAATGCAATATGTGCATAAAAGTAAAAAATAAATAAAAGAAGCACAATGTGGCATGAAAAAGGGTTTCTAAGACAATGTGACCTTCATATAATAAGACAAATGTCGAAGTCCCTATTATTGATGTAGGAGGTTTGGATTTTCTTCCTTCACATGCTCTGTTTTTCTCTCGTAGTGGAGTTGAAGTTCAATCTGGATCATTACGTGAATAAGCGATATCCCGGCCTGGTGAAGATCGTGAGGAACAGTAAAAGAGAGGGACTTATACGGGCCAGGATTCATGGCTGGAACGCAGCCACTGCTCCTGTTGTGGGATTCTTTGATGCCCATGTGGAGTTCAACACAGGCTGGTAAGTGGTATTCAGTTTTTTATTACTTTATAAGGCATTGTCTCACCACTCAGAATATAACTGACATGCTTCACATGACAAAGGCTTGATTTATCAGAGAATATTCATCATGACATCAATGGTAGCTTAGACTTCAGTGAGGAAAGCAGCCTGATGGGTTTTTATCTAAAGCATCTGTCAAAAATGAACTGATAGATTAATGATCTCAAAAATGGATGAATGTAATGTGCCCCAAATTAAATACCCATTTTCCTCTCTGATAGTAATGGGCTACCCTGCTGAAAAGTCTTTTCAAACTTGTACATGCCGTTTAGTGCTGGTCTGGTTGGAAACCGGCATCCAAACTTCAACATATAGAGAGACCAGTGTATTTTTTGAAGACAATCCAGGTAGAACAATAAAGCGATTGTTTGTTGCTTCCAAAAACACAAAACAGCTCCGATGTGCTGAGACTTGCTGTACCCACCGCACTCACAATCCTTAAATGAACTCAAGCATCCTTCATCTGTCACCTCCTTCAACTCGACAGCAAAGAGTTCTCATTAAGGCCTCCCATTAGATTAGTATGACCTCCATGTGGGAATTCTGGATTAACCATTAATGCAGGGCTGTACAGTGCGACATATATGTCCATATCCATAGACATATACAGTATGTGCATATATGCACGTGCTACGAAAAAACTGGTCTGTGTGATGAATAAATTTACCACTGTAGCATGTGTGCGATACAGTTTTGCATGTTCATAACACAGCCGCTTAATAGTGTGAAGTGATTTCATTGTGCTTGTTTGTGTGTGTGAGATTGATTATACTTGGTAGTTAGGGGTGTGCGATATGACAATTTTTGGTAGTGGACAATTAAAATGTCTCCACGATCTGCTTTTGAAGAAATATCATTGTATCGTGCTACAGCGCACATTCTATCAGCTGTAGTTCTTGCGCCTCCCTCCGTCTCAATATAATGTACAACGCCACATGCATTCACATCAGTGTTAGCTCAGCGTTAGAGTTACTCTCACGGGACACTGCAGTTATGTGCAATCACAAAACTACATTATTTCCATCTGCTTTAAAGCAATACCGGTTAAACATTTAATTCACGTGCTGTTCTGCATGTGCTTTTTCTGAGCGTGTACTCATGAAGCGCGCTTAAACTTGAGAGCCCGTCAAAAAGCGCCTGATTATTGGACTAAGTTGTCTTTCGCGTCTGATTGATTTAGCGTCTAATACTGTCAAAAACACACAAGGTTTATGAGAGCCTGTCAAAAAGCGCCTGATTATTGGACTAAGTTGTCTTTCGCGTTTGATTGATTTCACATCTAATACTGTCAAAACCACACAAGGTTTACATATAAACACAGTTGGTTATGTCTAAAAGGAAAGTAAAGAGTTGAGAGAGCAACGCGTGCAGCTCTTAAAGGGACAATAGCTACTAAACATGCTGCCGACTGTCATTAAAGGGATAGTTCACCCAAAAAATTTAATTTCTGTCATTATTTACTGAATCACATTTTGTCCCAAAACTGTATTAATTTATTTCTTGTGCTGAACACAAAAGAAGATATTTTGAAGAATGTGAGTAACCAAACAGTAGCTGGTCCACACTGACTTTTACAGTAGGAAAAAAACACCATGGAAGTCACTGTGTACCAGCAACTGCTTGGTTACCTACATTCTTCAAAAATAACTTTTATGCTCAACAGACGAAATAAACTAATTCAGGTTTAAAACAACTTGAGTAAATGGTGGTATAAAAATGAAACACTATGACAGAATTGAAAGACAGATTACAGAATTTTAATTTTTGGTGAACTATTCTTTTAATGTTCATAAAACAACAAAACATCAGTCAGTTGCTTTAAAAAAGTAAAATTGATGTATATAGTGTATATAATGTTTTATTTTAATATTTGTTAATTCAATTTCTTGAATGTTACTGCTAAATACTGTACCTGGAAAAATAAAGCACTGTTTGTTTTATTTGTATATTATGTGTATTTGTAATGTATATCATTGTTCTTATTTTCTAATAACAAAGATAAAATAATGACAAAGATTTTTATCTTTACTCACTTTGGCCTAAATGTCTGCCGTTCATTTTTATTTTATATTTTGTTAAGGTGTAAAAGGTGTTATGTTTCTGCACTCTTCCATTTGTAGCAAATTACGAAAACTTTGTTTAAAAACAATTTTTGTGATGGTTTGTATTTGTTGTGCTCTGTATGGAACATCAGTGCCTGTTTAAGTGATTAACTCCATTACTTGTGTTTGTTTTCAGACATGATAACAGACTATTTTATATTTTGTTAAGGTGTAAAAGGTGTTATGTTTCTGCACTCTTCCATTTGTAGCAAATTACGAAAACTTTGTTTAAAAACAATTTTTGTGATGGTTTGTATTTGTTGTGCTCTGTATGGAACATCAGTGCCTGTTCTGTTTATTAACTCCATTACTTGTGTTTGTTTTCAGACATGATAACAGACGTGTTATACTTGTGCTACAACTTTTTGGCCTGTGCTACAAAACGTCTCGGGTTACTTATGTAACCATGGTTCCCTGAGTAGGGAACGAGACACTGCGTCCTCTAGGTTTCTTGCCATGCTGCGGACGCAAGCTTCAGACGAAGAAGTGAACGATGTGTAGCTCCCGGCACCGATTTATACTGTAGTCGCACCGGTAGTGACGTCATGGCTGTCGCCGGCCAACGAGTTGGTGTTTTTTCAATGTATGCTTCAGATACGAGTCACGACGAGGCGTTCCCCATAGCGACCCCTAGAGGACGCAGTTCGAAGTTCCCATGAAAGGGAACTTTCAACCTCTGTAGCACCAGTGCTATGTGAAAAAAAAAGTTAACGTACAGCCCTGCATTAATGAGCTTTTCCTCTTTGTTCCACAACATAAACATTTCATGGAGAGATGATCACTGAATGAGGCCACCGTCTCAGGCACATGTTGCCAAATCTGTGGTCAGAAAGACAGGAGATGCATACCTCATTTTGGAGCCAAAATTAAATTAGAGTTTCATTATCACTTCCCTCGTGCAAAACTTGGTTTGCTATTTCATTTAAATGTGCTTTCTTGTGTGTGAGCTCCAAATTTCACGGTGTCGGAAAGTAAATGCATTTTAGTTTTGTATTTAAAAGAGGTCATATCATAATTTATTATATTCCCCCTCAAGTATTCCCCTAACATTAAAAGGGTTTTTTAATGTCAAAAACAGTCATCATTTTGTTTTTCATACCGATTTTCCACCCTCTGTTTGGCTTTTAGAAATAAACCGATTTTTTTTTCTACTTAGCCTTTAAGAAACACCCTCTTTCGCATGTAAAATAAGCAGATTCGAAATTAGCATGTTTTCATAGCACACCAAGGTCTTGTATGTCAAAAAGATCAAGGAAAATGTGATTCCTCATTAAGCCTTCAACATACTGTTTGCTCAAAAATAAAATCTCTTGAGAACTATGATGAACTCCTCTCCTCATGTCAGCACTGCCCTATTCCCTCAGTTGTCATTCTAATGTTGTCAGATTGAACCACCTGACCCGGGACTTTAAATTCACATAGTTTTTACATCATATTTCCATGGACATGTTGTTCCCTCATGTTATTTTATTGTTATTTTTTTAAAATAAACACACATTTGATGCATAGATGAGAACTTTTTTCTATTTATAGAAACATCACATGTTAAACTTTGAAGTAACTTGATGTATCCACACTTACAAGCACAGCTTCAAATGAAAGTTAATTTCAAATTGGCAGCATGCTGTGCTGGAAGTTTGACAATTAACACTTTGATATATTTGTTTCAAAGCAACTAACAGAATTCCAAAGAGGCCATTTAGTCAATATATGAACTGCAACAGCATTGGTCAAAAAAACTGTGAAAGCGTTTCATGTGTTAAGGACAACAGTTTTTAAAATGTAGCAGTAAAGTCACTAAAAATAAAACGTATTTCATTTTCTTAGGCCATACCTATTTTTCATTTTCTGCCTACATACATTTTCTGACCCTCAAGTCGTGGAGCACAAAATAAGATATTTTGCTGTTTCAGTGTTGTTGTTGTTGTGTTCAGCAGAATAAATTAAGTCATACAAATTTGAAGCAACATGAGGATGAATGGTAACTGACGGCGGAATTTACATTTTTGAGTGAATTATCTCTTTCACAAGGCACTCATGTAGTGCTGTACCTTGAATAATTAAATGCCATGCAGATTGTGTTTAGCTCAGATTTTGTGGCTGTGTTTGTGCTGTTACTTAGTAATTTATTTATTAAAACAGGAACTGAAACAACCCAGACAGGGTGCGCAAATAAACAGTGTTGTCAGTAAGCACAGTTCATTCCTTGCTTTAAGTTTTTGCCTTTCCCAGGAGTAGACGGATGTGTCACAGGATATTTGCTAAGTGGTACAAAAGGACCTCCTCAAATGTGACCACAGACCTGAATCCTCTTCACTAGGGGAAAACAAAACTGTATGTCATGAGATTCACAAAGCTCAGATTTATGGCAGGACTGCTGTTTCTGAGTCCTCTTCTTTCCAAGGCCAACACACAAAGACATAACCTGGTGTGTTGAGCATAAAACCTGTACCCCTGGGCAATGGAAAAGGTATTATGGTCTAACAAGTTATCTTTCAGCCTCATGTCTATCTCCCGACAGGTTCGGCAAATCTTTTCAACTCAAATCAGTGCTGCCGACTTGTATGCACAGAGGGGATCAGTAATTTTATGAGCAGTCATTTTATGGCCCCTCAAGTATTCCCCTAACATTAAAAGGGTTTTTTAATGTCAAAAACAGTCATCATTTTGTTTTTCATACCGATTTTCCACCCTCTGTTTGGCTCTTAGAAATAAACCGATTTTTTTTTTCTACTTAGCCTTTAAGAAACACCCTCTTTCGCATGTAAAATAAGCAGATTCGAAATTAGCATGTTTTCATAGCACACCAAGGTCTTGTATGTCAAAAAGATCAAGGAAAATGTGATTCCTCATTAA